ATTACAGCAAATAATTCAAAAATGGAGAGTTGTAGAATAATGTGGTCAATTTGTCCTCCAGTAGCCGAAGCCCACAGCAGCATAACGACTGAGGATAGTTCAGGATAACCTGAGCCAGGAAAAGTTTGTCATCAACTCCCAACCTGTTACCATAGAAACGTCCATATCTCACCAGTCTCCACTAGAAAAAAATAGTGCCAAAGTTCAAACAAGCACTTAGGAAGTATTAGGAAACATTCTCAGTGATTCTTGTTCCCTCTGTGGCCCTGCAGGCGTATGAGAAGCAGAAGCAAGCTCTGAAGAGCACCAACCAGCTGGAGTCCAAGTCTGAGGAACGGCAGAGGGTGGAGAGGTTTAAGACCAGCGAGAACAGCATCGTGTCCAAACCCATCAACCCGTTCACATCTGGTGCCTCTCACTCAGCGCTGATTCTGAACCGTTAAACAGAATTTCTAGCTTCCTTCCAGGATAAAGTATGCCTTTTTTTTCCTGTTTTCTTCAGGGCAGAAGAAGGAGAGTGAAGCGAGCAGCTCAGGAGAGGCGTCCAGTGCGGGTTCGACCCCCTCCTCCAGCCAGAGCCTGCCCAGCTTCTGGATCCCCTCCCTGACCCCAGAGGCCAAGCCCACCCTGCTGAAGAAACCCGTCAGTAGGATTCCCATCTTTCGCTGCTGTTTGTTTTTTTTGTTTTTGGTTCAGTTTTTTTATTTTTGAATGTTCTCTTCCATTTATCCATTTATCCTACTCACCATGGCAGCCACCTCTGGAGCAACTCATCATACCAGTCTTTCTAGTTAGCTTGTTGCAGAGTAGCAGAAACATTTCAGAACTATATGCATAAAATGAGTCATTTCAATTAAACAAGCTCATTTTATTTTTAATAAACTAGCTGGGAAAAAAAATGCTTCCTGCATTGAAGGCATAACATTATGACCACTGACATCATGGACCTTTTGGTGTGTGGGATTATATTAGACTGTTTGTCCTCATAGCAGCAATGTTAAAGTCCTCAGATTACTGAAGAACTTAATGCTGGTTGTGATAGAAAAGTGTCAGAATTCAGTTTACATAGACATATGAGCAATGTCAACAGATAATACAGCTGATAGGATATTCAATATATAGAATATTTACTGAACTCTGATCCAGACCTGCAAAGAATTGGGAGATGCAGGCAGAGGAAAGGTTTTAGCCACTCAACCTCTGACAGCTAGCTAAGCAATGTGACCAGCATAAACTAACTGGTCTAACTAACTGCTAATAATCAGAATATTATGCCTATTTGGTGTAAATTGAAACTGTTTAGCTGCAGTAAGATTTGCTTCTCCCAGAAAAGCCCTCAACATTCTGTTAATGGAACTGTTGATCCGTTCAAGCAGATGCCCTGCATGCAGCTGGCTGCTGTGTGTGTGTGTGTGTGTGTGTGTGTGTGTGTGTGTGTGTGTGTGTGTGTGTGTGTGTGTGTGTGTGTGTGTGTGTGTGTGTGTGTGTGTGTGTGTGTGTGTGTGTGTGTCCCTTGTGTTTAGTACAGTGGACGGACCATTTCCCTTACTATGTTGTGGGCACTAACTTATCCATTTGGATCCAAAAGCCTGGAGCCCATAAGAATGCTGATTTTGAATTAGGGGTCAGGTTTGGGACTAAGGTGTTAATTGAGTTTAGGTCAGAAAATGAAATGAAAATGAATAGAAGTCAATATTAAGTCCCTGTGACATTAGAAAGACATACGCTGTGTGTGTAAGACAGAGCATGACTTGAGAAATGCTTTAAAGGGATAAAAGAGCAGCTTTGCTTCCTTTTATCCACTCTGCTCTGCTCTCCTTCTTCAGCCTCTTGCTGGTCTCAGATTGTGTAAAAGATCTGGAGCTTGTTGCGGGTTCAGCTGTTTGCTTTCTGCGTGGATGTCATGATATCTGCTGATTTAATGTGTACCCTTCTGTTGGCACCGCTCTAAAGAGAGGACAGGTTGACCCTCTGGCTGAAACCCATCTCTATGTGAGCTGCAGCAGCTCTCTGAAGCTGTGTTTGTTCTTTGTGTCAGAGTAAAGCTGTGCTGTGTCCCATGTCTGGACGACCCATCAAGATGAACGACCTCATCCCAGTGAACTTCACCCCACTGGACTCAAGCCTGGACAGGGTGGCCTTGCTCAACCGCCAGGTCAGTTTACTCACCAGTCTGTGCTCACACTAAGAGGAAAAAACAACAGAGAAACCATGTCTGGAAAACTAACCTGCTTTAGATGGAACAGTGTGGAGCGTTGCAGGGTTTCACTCCAGTCTGCTGCTTTCTGCCCCCAGGAGAGGTATGTGTGTGCAGTGACCAGAGACGCTCTGGGTAACAGTGTCCCCTGCGCCGTCCTGAGACCCTCGTGAGTCCTTACCCCATTGCTGTCACACTGCAAAAACACTAAATCTTACAAAGTACTTTTGATTTAGTTTCCAGTCTTAGTGCATGCGAAATACGGCAAAACTATCTTACAAGTCATTTTTCAACCAGATATAGAAGCTTGCTTTAAATTGATGAAAAAAGTACAAGTTCTATAGACAGATTATTCCACTTATAACACAGTGAAATAACTGGTACATTTTCAACAATAAAAAAGAGTGGTTGACTTATCTCTCTGAAAAGTTACTTGTAAGTTACCTTTGTTGTATTTCTAGTGCACTAAGACATTTGAACTAGAAACTAAATCCAAAAATACTTGGTCAGATTTAGTGTTTTTGCAGTGAACATCCAGGACCATGTTTCAGCCTCACCACTGACTGATTCTCCTGACTGACCGTTTCAGGGGGACTGTAGTGACTCAGGAGTGTGTGGAGAAGTTGATAAAGAAGGACATGACTGACCCCGTGTCTGGAGCCAAGCTAACAGAGAGAGACATCATCCCACTGCAGAGGGTAGGTAGCTGACTCAGAGGATGCTGAAAAAGCTGCTACTAACAATAAAGAGAACAGTCGGATCAAATTTAATTGTTTTTCCTTGAGTTACAAAAATGGTCAGTAACACATTTGATGAGGAAGCCTGATTCAGTGTTCAGAGTCCCTCTGCCTCCCTGTGAGAGTTTGTCTGTGTGTAGCTGAGCTCCAGCTGTCTGTCTGTTTCCTCCCAGGGTGGAACCGGCTTCGCAGGTTCTGGAGTTGACCTGAGAGCCAAAGAGGCCCGTCCAGTGATGCAGGCATGAGGATGTGAGGATGAGGAGGCTTGAGCAGCTCGATGAGATGTCAAAGATTTCTGCAGCTTGTAAGCGTACAGTTCCTGGGTGTTGTGTTTTTCTTTGGCTGGATGCTTTGGTCTTTCTGAATGAAATGGTAAATAAATTTTTTTTTAACTCTAGCACTTTCTGAGTGATTACTTTGACTTCATATAGTTTGCATGTTTAACGTGAGGAAAATAACGGTGGGCTCTAACAGTCAGGTCAGATGAGGTTTGTCCAGTTGGAGTTGTGTTTTCACAGTTCGTCATGCTCCTCCACCCTCATGCCTCCATAGTCAGTGATTGTGCTCATCCTGATGGATTCTGTTTTGTCGAGCACTTCAGACAGAGACAGGCGGCCGTCCTGATGAGCAGAGACACAACACATTTTTACTTCATCATGTGTGCTTTTAAAGTCTCTAAACGTTTTTCCATCACATCCTTCACAAGAACACGTCAATGACGTCAAAGAAAAACACATGGATTTTCATTTAACCTTGCATAAGTATTCATCCTTCAATTTATGACATTACAACCACAGTTCTAATAGATCGCTAAAGCAAGTAAAAATAAAAATTGAAATTGAGAAAATGTTTTTTAACTAAAACGGTAATTAACTGTGTAAAACTTAATAACTGAAACACTGAAACTATTATCATATCATGTTCATAAATCTATTAGGCTTTCGATCTGATGTGATTGATTACTGATGGATTCCTCTACACACACACCAGCAGTTTACATCAGCAGGCACAATGTACTCCTGACTGCACTTGTTGATCTGCAAAACAGCAAAAGTTGGATGAAACTAAGTCAGTTGTTGTTCAGGCATGGTCTACACTGGCTCCAATAATTCCCAGGATTCCCAAACAAACTTTTCTGACTCATTTATATTTCACTCTCTACACATATTCCACGCCAAAACGTAGTTTTCTCAGAAAACGTGACGATCATTGATGTGACATTTATGAAGGAGTCTTTCACTTTCAGTCTGCAGTTATATTCAATAAAATAAAATGTGCATCACAATGTGTCTCATTCGTCAGATTAAAAGTACCATTTATAAGTACCATTAATACATTAAACATACTTGTTGCTCACGTTACATGATTAAAAATACCCGTTTTATTGGTCTGATGTAATATTCAAATTACATCTCTGGGAAATAATCATAATTAATAAGAATAAAAGCTGGAAAACATCTGTGTGTAATTCATCTACATTGAGTGTTAAACATAATACGTTTAGCCACTGAAATAAATTGACTTCAAAAATAATTCCACTTTACTGAATGGGTCAGGAGAACCTGAGATCCTGAAGTGAAACTCACTGAGGAAAATTTTTTTTTTTTAGCAATGAAATATTTTAAATTCTTGAGAACTTTCTTAATGCAACATAAAGCTCTGCTTCCAGCAAAACTCAGATTTCTACCATTTGCAGCCTCTTGATTAATATACAAAGTGGCATTTCATAATTACTAATACATGTTTTTATTATGGTATAATGATGTGATTTTCTTTTGTCACTCACCTTTTAAAATAAAACAAGCTTCTGAGTCGCCTCAGATTCTAGAACTCTAGTTCTATTTGGAAAAAGTGCAGATCAGGAGGTGATATTCTGATCTTAAATGTTTTCATTGGCTGGGAGCTGAAAATCAGAATTAACAGACAAAGAAAACAGCTTGTGGAATGAATCTAGTTCTGTGTGTTAACCGAGCTACTGAATAAATTAACCTTTCAATTTTATTATTCCAGTTTAATAAAGATGACTGCATCTAATGACTCAGACTTGCAGCAGTGAACCTCCATCCTTCACAGTTTGATGAGCTTTTACTGAGTAATTAAAGTAAAACAAAAAAACCATGCAATACAGCATAAACACCACAAACAACATTTGTACAAAAAGACTTTAATTGTCAAACTATAAAAAGTCTGTAACAGTCCATCCTTGACCTCTTTCTCCCCCCAATTTCTACCTTTTTGATGGCTAAACTTGTTAAAGTCACATTTTAATAGAAATTATTTCCTCTCTTCTGAACACTGTTTCCTATTAGAATCCACTCGAATCCATACCTAACATTACAGCCTTGGTGTATTGTGTGATAATCTGATAACCCAAGTGAATAAAAAAAAAAGTCTAAAAACCCAGAAAGGACGGCCTCTTTCTCAGCATTACCACCCTGACATACACAGTATGTGACTGCTTCCTGTAGCACGCGTCTGGAAGCTACAAGCAGAGATGCACCAATCAGAATGCAGAGACAGATTTCACCCGTTTTTCACTTGAGTCTTCTCTCAGTAACTACATCCACAACAAAGAGCATCAGCGAGACCTGGTAGTGCTTAGCAAAGTTCAATCCCTGATCAGAGGAAAAAAGAAGGATTTTTGAGGGTGACCAGCAGGTTACTGCTCATATCTGCTGATTCCTCAGTGCATCTCTGGTTGCAAACCTTCCATTCATGAATAAAGGGGTCATGGTTACACCAAGACTGTCTGTCGCATTATGAAGAGTCAAAACTTTAGAGACTTAAGTGAACCCAGTCTAACCCACCCCATTTCCCCAGCCCCAAACTTCCAAAGGACACTTCATCAAAGTTCGTCATGTTTCTTTGTTAAATCTTCACCATAATTGGTCGCCTGGCTGCCCACAAACATGTTCCAATTGGCCAGAATTTCCTTCTTGGTGATTTTCTCGTCCTGTTGAGTGATTACAGCATTTCATCCAACATGGGTTGATTGGGAGGTGATTAAGAGAAGCAGAAGAAAGGAGGGATGAAGAACAGAGAGAGAGATGATTAGCAATTAATTCAATTAAGCAATTATATATGCCTGTGCTGGCAGTGGAGGAGGAACCGAGTCAGTCTAATGTCTGGAGTCAGGTCCTGAGTCGAGTCAAAGTCCTAAACAAAATGTTACGTTTTAACCCATCATTTAACTCAATATGCAACTTAATCACAGTAATGAGTTCTAGAAACTGTTATTTTTAAAATAGATGTTTAGTTTTTCAGATCAACCAGCAAAAGAAACCAAACTAGCACCAATCTGAGCAGATGTTGACTTTTAAGGTAAATATTAACTAAAAACAAAATAGAGAAATTAAAGAGGAAAATAATCCATAAACAAAATAAACCCTCCTAATTTCTTTACAAAATGATAATAAAAGTGAACCAACTGCAACAGTATAATATAGCTTTGACATTATTTTATAAGTAAGATTATCAAAATGATTTCTACAACTGTAGAAAATCAGACTTTCTGATTAAGTTGATCTTAGATAAAGCAAAGAAACTAAAAAATCAGGCAAAATGATTCAGTTTTAATAACAAACAGCTGATTTGCCATATTTCTAACTTAATATGAGAGAAAACCTGCAACATTTTGACTCCAGGATTCAACTAGAGAATAAAATCAGTCATTTAGATAACATTAACTTTACAGTTATGCTGCATGGTCTTTGATGCAAAAGTCAAAAGTCTCTGAATTTATCAAGTCATGTAATTAATTCATGTTGCAGAAATATTAATCTGGCATCATGTAATCACAGCCAGACAGATCAAACAGGAAGTAGCACAATGCTTTAAAGGGATCCTTTGATTGGTCTCTTTGGGTTGACACAAAAGTGAACTGTGCTGTGCAACATTTAAACGCACACTCGGGATAAATGTACCATTCCTAAGCAATGCATCTATCTACCTTGTTTGTGTCGGTCTCGTGGATCAGATGCTTGGCCTCGTTGTCAGCATGGTCCACCTCTCCTGGTAGAACCCACTGGGCAACTTCGTTAGCATCCAGGTAGCCGTCCTGCAGCATGAATGAAGACGGGATCTTATTTTATCTGGACTAGAATCAGCAGCAGCAGCAGCAGAACAGGAGACGGGTAGCATCGAGTCACCAGCACCAAGTGAGACAAAAACCAGAACTGACTGGTTTGTTCATCATCAAAAGATTGACTGAAAAACTCAAATTTAAAGGGACAGTGTTGTATATTTTCCAGGCACATTGTGCTATGAAATTACACCATCAAGTATCAAGACATTGTCTTCCATTATAAAAAGCTTTTTTTTCTTAATAAAACTGAAACACCCTTTTTTTATGTCATATTTGATTAAATTTGGCCTCTGTCTCTTTAAGAACTGCTGCTCTTTCTGAAACTCCCCCTTCAGGAAGTCATCACAACATGGCTCCTTTATTACCTTATTAACAACCTTTTTAACAGCACTGCACTGAGAAGTAGTTCCTATAATGAGCTCAGCAGATCCACAGTTGTAGCAGATGTCTGCTAATTGCTGCTGGCTAGTCTGAAGGAGCTGAGTGGGAGACTGGTGGGTGAGAGCTGCTATCTGAGGAGGAAGCTTGGAAAGTCGAGCTGTGCCTTGAAGGCAGCACTGTGTCCGTTTCGCACAGCTTATACACACTATCACCATGGTGATGCCAGAGCTATAGTGGTTGAGATCAAAGGAAATACATGTGTTAGAATGGCCTACTCAAAGTTCTGACCTAAAGCTGCTAACTAACAGTTTAACATTTCCCTGGAATTTTTTTGAACAAAAAAAAAAAAACATTTCCTGTTGTCTTCCCCTATATAATCATACATGACTGTGTATGATGTGTTGGCCTGTCACATCAAATCCTGAGAAAATACAGTAACGTTTTAAGACATGATGAAATGTTACAGGTATGAGCAGCTCTCACCTTGTTGACGTCTCTGAACTCTCCAAAGTGTTTCCTCTCAGTCTGGACCCAGTCAGGCTCCGACTCGCCGTCCTCCGGTGTGTACATGTCACCTGGTGAGGGCAGACATGATGAACACCAGAACCTCTGGTTCCAGCGCAGAGCTCACTGGTCAGACTGGACACAGGGCTGACCTACCAATATACTCATGGAGGTTGACCTTTCCGTCACCGTCCTTATCAATGTCCTCCATAGTTTCCTGTAGAGAGAACAAAGTGATTTACTGACTTTCATTTAAAGGGCCAGTATTGTGTTTTCCAGGCACATATTGCCATTTTATAGCACAATCAAGTAACTGTTACCATCAGTTCAATCTTGAAAATGTTTATGTCAAATATGACCTAAAAGAAACATGACTGTGCAATTTAATGCCTGGAATTCTTTCAAAACTCTTCCTCTGATGTTTCCCTTTGGCCACAACATTTCTTCTTCAAGGATCTGAGTGGGGAGTTGCTGCTCTGTGAGGTTGGAAACTGCAGCTCTGAGGAGAAGCTTCATCCTAAAAGGTGGTGCTAGGTAACCCACCCCGCCCCCCAACGCTTTGCACAGCTGAACTGTTGCCTTGGAGATTAAAAAGGATTTCACAAATATGCACAAAATGATTAAAGCAACACCTAAGGTATGTTTTTGATGAGGGAAGAACATTATAACATGATGTAAATCTCAAAAGTAGCTGCCACCATTTAATTTATCACCGACACGCTGATAAATTAAAAAATGTCCTTGAATATTTGCAATCATTTTTACAACCGATGAGGCTAATAAGTCACTGGTGTATATATTACTGCATATATTACTGCATATATTACTGTATATATTACTGTATATATTACTGCATATATTACTGCATATATTACTGTATATATTACTGCATATATTACTGTATATATTACTGTATATATTACTGCATATATTACTGTATATATTACTGCATATATTACTGCATATATTACTGCATATATTACTGTATATATTACTGTATATATTACTGCATATATTACTGTATATATTACTGCATATATTACTGCATATATTACTGTATATATTACTGCATATATTACTGCATATATTACTGCATATATTACTGTATATATTACTGCATATATTACTGTATATATTACTGCATATATTACTGTATATATTACTGCATATATTACTGTATATATTACTGCATATATTACTGCATATATTACTGCATATATTACTGTATATATTACTGCATATATTACTGCATATATTACTGTATATTACTGTATATATTACTGCATATATTACTGCATATATTACTGCATATATTACTGTATATATTACTGTATATATTACTGCATATATTACTGTATATTACTGCATATATTACTGCATATATTACTGCATATATTACTGTATATATTACTGCATATATTACTGCATATATTACTGTATATATTACTGCATATATTACTGCATATATTACTGCATATATTACTGCATATATTACTGTATATATTACTGCATATATTACTGCATATATTACTGCATATATTACTGTATATATTACTGCATATATTACTGCATATATTACTGTATATATTACTGCATATATTACTGTATATATTACTGCATATATTACTGCATATATTACTGTATATATTACTGTATATATTACTGCATATATTACTGCATATATTACTGCATATACTGTATATATTACTGTATATATTACTGCATATATTACTGTATATATTACTGCATATATTACTGCATATATTACTGCATATATTACTGTATATATTACTGCATATATTACTGCATATATTACTGCATATATTACTGCATATATTACTGTATATATTACTGCATATTACTGCATATATTACTGTATATATTATTGCATATATTACTGCATATATTACTGCATATATTACTGTATATATTACTGTATATATTACTGCATATATTACTGTATATATTACTGCATATATTACTGCATATATTACTGCATATATTACTGTATTATTACTGTATATTACTGCATATATTACTGTATATATTACTGCATATATTACTGCATATATTACTGTATATATTACTGCATATATTACTGCATATATTACTGCATATATTACTGTATATATTACTGCATATATTACTGTATATATTACTGCATATATTACTGTATATATTACTGCATATATTACTGTATATATTACTGCATATATTACTGCATATATTACTGCATATATTACTGTATATATTACTGCATATATTACTGCATATATTACTGTATATATTACTGTATATATTACTGCATATATTACTGCATATATTACTGCATATATTACTGTATATATTACTGTATATATTACTGCATATATTACTGTATATATTACTGCATATATTACTGCATATATTACTGCATATATTACTGTATATATTACTGCATATATTACTGCATATATTACTGTATATATTACTGCATATATTACTGTATATATTACTGCATATATTACTGCATATACTGTATATATTACTGCATATATTACTGCATATATTACTGCATATATTACTGTATATATTACTGCATATATTACTGTATATATTACTGCATATATTACTGTATATATTACTGCATATATTACTGTATATATTACTGCATATATTACTGCATATATTACTGTATATATTACTGTATATATTACTGCATATATTACTGCATATATTACTGCATATATTACTGCATATATTACTGTATATATTACTGTATATATTACTGCATATATTACTGTATATATTACTGCATATATTACTGTATATATTACTGTATATATTACTGCATATATTACTGCATATATTACTGCATATATTACTGTATATATTACTGTATATATTACTGCATATATTATTGTATATATTACTGCATATATTACTGCATATATTACTGCATATATTACTGTATATATTACTGTATATATTACTGCATATATTACTGCATATATTACTGTATATATTACTGTATATATTACTGCATATATTACTGCATATATTACTGCATATATTACTGTATATATTACTGTATATATTACTGCATATATTATTGTATATATTACTGTATATATTACTGCATATATTACTGTATATATTACTGTATATATTACTGTATATATTACTGCATATATTACTGCATATATTACTGTATATATTACTGCATATATTACTGTATATATTACTGCATATATTACTGTATATATTACTGCATATATTACTGTATATATTACTGCATATTACTGTATATATTACTGTATATATTACTGCATATATTACTGTATATATTAGTGTATATTACTGCATATATTACTGCATATATTACTGTATATATTACTGTATATATTACTGTATATATTACTGCATATATTACTGCATATATTACTGTATATATTACTGTATATATTACTGCATATATTACTGCATATATTACTGCATATTACTGTATATATTACTGTATATATTACTGCATATATTACTGTATATATTACTGCATATATTACTGCATATATTACTGCATATATTACTGCATATATTACTGCATATATTACTGCATATATTACTGCATATATTACTGCATATATTACTGCATGTATTACTGTATATATTACTGCATATTACTGTATATATTACTGTATATATTACTGTATATATTACTGCATATATTACTGCATATATTACTGCATATATTACTGCATATATTACTGTATATATTACTGCATATATTACTGTATATATTACTGCATATATTACTGTATATATTACTGCATGTATTACTGTATATATTACTGCATGTATTACTGTATATATTACTGTATATATTACTGCATGTATTACTGTATATTACTGCATATATTACTGTATATATTACTGTATATATTACTGCATATATTACTGTATATATTACTGCATATATTACTGCATATATTACTGTATATATTACTGCATATATTACTGTATATATTACTGCATATATTACTGCATATATTACTGTATATATTACTGCATATATTACTGTATATATTACTGCATATATTACTGTATATATTACTGCATATATTACTGCATATATTACTGTATATATTACTGCATATATTACTGTATATATTACTGCATATATTACTGCATATATTACTGTATATATTACTGCATATATTACTGTATATATTACTGTATATATTACTGCATATATTACTGTATATATTACTGTATATATTACTGCATATATTACTGCATATATTACTGTATATATTACTGTATATATTACTGTATATATTACTGTATATATTACTGTATATATTACTGCATATATTACTGCATATATTACTGTATATATTGTATATATTACTGCATATATTACTGCATATATTACTGCATATATTACTGTATATATTACTGTATATACTACTGCATATATTACTGCATATATTACTGTATATATTACTGCATATATTACTGCATATATTACTGCATATATTACTGTATATATTACTGCATATATTACTGCATATATTACTGCATATATTACTGCATATATTACTGCATATATTACTGTATATATTACTGCATATATTACTGTATATATTACTGCATGTATTACTGTATATATTACTGCATGTATTACTGTATATATTACTGTATATATTACTGTATATATTACTGCATATATTACTGCATATATTACTGCATATATTACTGTATATATTACTGCATATATTACTGTATATATTACTGCATATTACTGTATATATTACTGCATATATTACTGTATATATTACTGCATGTATTACTGTATATATTACTGCATGTATTACTGTATATATTACTGTATATATTACTGCATATATTACTGTATATATTATTGTACATATTACTGTATATATTACTGCATATATTACTGCATATATTACTGTATATATTACTGTATATATTACTGTATATATTACTGTATATATTACTGCATATATTACTGTATATATTACTGTATATATTACTGTATATATTACTGCATATATTACTGTATATATTACTGCATATATTACTGTATATATTACTGCATATTACTGCATATATTACTGCATATATTACTGCATATATTACTGTATATATTACTGCATATATTACTGTATATATTACTGTATATATTACTGTATATATTACTGCATATATTACTGTATATATTACTGCATATATTACTGTATATATTACTGTATATATTACTGCATATATTACTGTATATATTAGTGTATATATTACTGCATATTACTGCATATATTACTGCATATATTACTGTATATATTACTGTATATATTACTGTATATATTACTGCATATATTACTGTATATATTACTGTATATATTACTGTATATATTACTGCATATATTACTGTATATATTACTGCATATATTACTGTATATATTACTGCATATATTACTGCATATATTACTGCATATATTACTGTATATATTACTGCATATATTACTGTATATATTACTGCATATATTACTGCATATATTACTGCATATATTACTGTATATTACTGTATATATTACTGTATATATTACTGCATATATTACTGCATATATTACTGTATATATTACTGCATATATTACTGTATATATTACTGTATATATTACTGTATATATTACTGCATATATTACTGCATATATTACTGCATATATTACTGCATATATTACTGTATATATTACTGCATATATTACTGCATATATTACTGCATATATTACTGTATATATTACTGTATATATTACTGCATATATTACTGCATATATTACTGTATATATTACTGCATATATTACTGTATATATTACTGCATATATTACTGCATATATTACTGCATATATTACTGTATATATTACTGTATATATTACTGTATATATTACTGCATATATTACTGCATATATTACTGTATATATTACTGCATATATTACTGCATATATTACTGCATATATTACTGTATATATTACTGTATATATTACTGCATATATTACTGCATATATTACTGCATATATTACTGTATATATTACTGTATATATTACTGTATATATTACTGCATATATTACTGCATATATTACTGCATATATTACTGTATATATTACTGTATATTACTGCATATATTACTGTATATATTACTGTATATATTACTGTATATATTACTGCATATATTACTGTATATATTACTGCATATATTACTGCATATATTACTGTATATATTACTGCATATATTACTGCATATATTACTGCATATATTACTGCACATATTACTGCATATATTACTGCATAATATTACTGCATATATTACTGTATATATTAGTGTATATATTACTGCATATATTACTGCATATATTACTGCATATATTACTGTATATATTACTGTATATATTACTGCATATATTACTGCATATATTACTGCATATATTACTGTATATATTACTGTATATATTACTGCATATATTACTGTATATATTACTGTATATATTACTGCATATATTACTGTATATATTACTGCATATATTACTGTATATATTACTGTATATATTACTGTATATATTACTGTATATATTACTGTATATATTACTGCATATATTACTGCATATATTACTGCATATATTACTGTATATATTACTGTATATATTACTGCATATATTACTGTATATATTACTGTATATATTACTGTATATATTACTGCATATATTACTGTATATATTACTGCATATATTACTGCATATATTACTGTATATATTACTGCATATATTACTGCATATATTACTGTATATTACTGTATATATTACTGCATATATTACTGCACATATTACTGCATATATTACTGCATATATTACTGCATATATTACTGTATATATTACTGCATATATACTGTATATATTACTGCATATATTACTGTATATATTACTGCATATATTACTGTATATATTACTGCATATATTACTGCATATATTACTGCATATATTACTGTATATATTACTGTATATATTACTGCATATATTACTGCATATATTTACTGTATATATTACTGCATATATTACTGCATATATTACTGCATATATTACTGCACATATTACTGCATATATTACTGCATATATTACTGCATATATTACTGTATATTAGTGTATATATTACTGCATATATTACTGTATATATTACTGTATATATTACTGCATATATTACTGTATATATTACTGTATATTTACTGTATATATTACTGCATATATTACTGTATATATTACTGCATATATTACTGTATATATTACTGTATATATTACTGCATATATTACTGCATATATTACTGTATATATTACTGTATATATTACTGCATATATTATTGTACATATTACTGTATATATTACTGCATATATTACTGCATATATTACTGCATATATTACTGCATATATTACTGCATATATTACTGTATATATTACTGTATATATTACTGTATATATTACTGCATATATTACTGCATATATTACTGTATATATTATTGCATATATTACTGCATATATTACTGCATATATTACTGTATATATTACTGTATATATTACTGTGCATATTACTGCATATATTACTGCATATATTACTGCATATATTACTGTATATATTACTGCATATATTACTGTATATATTACTGCATATATTACTGCATATATTACTGTATATATTACTGTATATATTACTGCATATATTACTGTATATATTACTGTATATATTACTGTATATATTACTGCATATATTACTGTATATATTACTGCATATATTACTGCATATATTACTGTATATATTACTGCATATATTACTGCATATATTACTGCATATATTACTGTATATATTACTGTATATATTACTGCATATATTACTGCACATATTACTGCATATATTACTGCATATATTACTGCATATATTACTGTATATATTACTGCATATATTACTGCATATATTACTGTATATATTACTGCATATATTACTGCATATATTACTGTATATATTACTGTATATATTACTGCATACACCAGTCATAACCTGGCCAACCGAATAAAACCGATTGAACTATATTTTTTCACTCGTTGCATCACAACCTGAACTCCACTGGCCCGTTCAGGTCCAGTGGGGCAGGTCCAGGTCACGTTCCTGTCTCTGCAGTCATAAGCAGATTTTCTTATCAAATTCTACTGGGCAAAACCAGGTGTTAGTCTTCATGGACCGTTGCCATGGTGTCAGGACTGAGCTCTACCTGCACCACTACATCCTTCATATAGTCGAACTCCTCAGGATGCAGGAAGGCAGTAAACTCCTCGCGCGTGGCGATGCCGTCACGGTCTTTGTCGGCCGCCTTGAAGCGTCGCTCGTCCCGGGCCAGCATGGACTTATACGTGTCTTTGTCCTCAATGTCGCTGAACTCCTCACCTGGACAGAAAGCGGCCTGAACTGATTCTACAAACTCTGTTCAGTCTTGACTATCAGACAGTAACTATCCAACCGGATTATTGCTTAGTGTTGTCAGATGAGACTGAGTGAAGTAGGAAGTCAGACAGGAAGCTGGCGTTACCCAGGTAGTAGCCGTAGGTGGTGTTCTTGTACTCCTCCCAGGCGATCTTGTCGTCCCGGTTCTGGTCGTAGTCCTTCCAGTGCTTGTTGACGTTCTCCTCGATGTACCTCCTCTGCCTGTGTTTGATCCACTGGTGCAGCTCTGGGTGGGTGACGTAGCCGTCCTTGTCCGTGTCGATCCGGTCCACGATCTTCCTGTAGAGGCGAAGTCAGAGGAGACGAGGCTCAGTTAGTCACTGAGAACAGAAACAACACAGAGTCTGTTGACTGTAAATATTTTACTGAGCTCACTTGTTACACAGATCAATTTCACGGAAGTTTTTCTTGGCATCAGAGTAAATATAAGATATTGTCATCTAACTTATGTAGAAAAGGAATTTGGAAAACATTAAAGAAATCTTAAGATTAAAACACAGCCATGTCTTTTGCTCATTTTTCTGGGGTTGGTTATTTTCTGTTGAGTTCTCAGTAAGAAAAGAAGCAAAATAATGAAGCAAAATTTGGAACAATGAGGAACTGGAGCTCTGCAGCTTACCTCACCATGTCAGCACTTTAGATTTAGTCATCCAATTTCCATTCAAGATATAGCAAAAGCAAACTTTTGATAATTACTCTCCATTTTCAGTTAGAAATGCAAAGTCCAGAAAAATGACCTGAGTGTTTTTTGTCCAGTGATGCTGTGAACGGCTACACCAAAGGAATGATCAACCATATTCATAGTAAGCTTAACTTTTGATTTGTCATCAAATGATCAAAGAAAGCTAAACAACACATTCACAACTAAATTAAGACAATAGGTAAATACTCTGATCTTACTGATTAATGATCGTTTTTCTATAGCACCAGGACTGTCAGAACCTACGCCAGTCGGTCTTTGCTCTCCTCGGGGGTCAGCTGGTCGAATGTTTTGGCTTCCTCTTTTCCCAGGAAGGCCTCATGGTCGTACTGGTAGTTCTGACTATCGTCATGGACGTGGTCACTCAGACCAGGCTGGTGATGGACCCGCTTCTCCTGAGCAGGGACGGCAAGAGCAGCGGTACCCAGGAAGTACAGGTACGCCAGTGAACTCAGCAGCATCATGGCCGATTTCTGATGGCTGAGGTATGAAGAGAGAGAAAAGTAAAGACAATATGGCAAATTCAAATTCTGAGAAGGACATGAGACATATTCCTACATCTCTAGGTTGACTTGGTCTACATTTATTTAGAGCCTTACATCTTTGTAAAGGTGTAGCAGAGATTAGGTCCCTGTGCATGGTCCAAAAACATGACTGTCAGGTTAATTGGTCTTTCTACATTCTCCTTAGGTGTGCTTGTGGGCGTGTGCATGTGTGTGCGTGTGTGTGCATGTGTGTGCATATGTGTGCATATGTGTGTGTGCGTGTTTGTCCTGTCTGTCTCTATGTTGCCCTTCGACAGACTAGGACCTGTCAAAGGTGACCCCACCTCTCGTCCCGAAACGTTCACTGGAGATGGACACCAGCACTTCCCAAACACAAGGGACCAGAATGTTAGAAAATGAATGGATGGGTTTACTTACAAGCCTTTCAACTTCTGGACTATACAAACAGGGTCAGAGCCTAGCGGTGATTCTCTTTAGACAAAGTCACTAAAATAACTACATGAACATTTTTTCTTTATGATAGAAAGTAATCCTGGATCTATATAAAACTGTACAAATTGAAGAGATATAGTGATAATTTTTTTCTCTGCTACATTTCATTAACACATTTGTGGAAATACTGGAAAACCTTGGTGGTTTTCATGGCCAAGGCCTGAAAGAGCCCATGAGCTCCTGTTCTACCACCATGACATGTTGGCATGCTGACATGCTCAGTTTGGTTTTCACTAAATCTGTCAATTTTGGCCCCAAATTCTTCCTTATCCCAACGACACTTTATTGTGGCATTATTGTGTTTCATTGAAGGTCTTTCCTGACAACGCTCCCAAACATGAAATACTTGTAAATACCTCTGATTTTAACGCCAAAGGCATCAGCATTAACACTGAGGCCTACAGTTATCTCAGGCTGAACAACCCTAGAAAAAAAACAGCAACTATTCTGACAATTTCCAGTCATAGTTTATCTTTGGCACCCTGGTCGGTGGGCTTGGAACTGTTTCTCATGATTATCATGATGGTCACCGAACATCTGCATCTTTCTGCCAGGCAAACTACCAGAAATCCAATTTGTGTAAAAGATGTTCAGACTCGCTGATCAGTTAATCAATGCTTTTGATCAACTAATGCTAAAAACATGAACACAGAGAAAGTTCCAGTAGAAAGACAGAAAACATCTTGAGCCATTGTCAAGACACTTATTGGCTCCTGGGAGGTGAAAGGTCAGCTCACTCTGCCAGCACAAAGTCTCAGTTTCCTGAAAGCCTCAAATTATCATCAGTGAAAAGGTTCTTGCTTCCTGCCTGCACTGTGTGCGGGGTACTAACGGAACCATGACAACTTTGACTAGATGTGGAGGTAAGCTAACAATAAGCTAACAGTAAGCTGGAGTATCTGCAACAAAGTTTAAAAGCTCACCAGCTCTCTGGCAGCAGAACAGTCCTCCTCCCACAGCACAGCTCTCAGAACAGAGGTCCGCGTTGGCATTTTGCTTCTTTAAATAATAAAGGAAAATGGGCGGGACTTCTTCTGTGGCTAACCAATTACCGACGCGTTGAAGAAAATTCCAACCAATAGAAGTGACACTTAGCGGGAAAGGATTTCATGATACGTTCTTATTGGCTGGATACCGCCACGTTGTCACGCGCCCCACCTCAGAGTAACTTTTTCTCAGTTTGTGCATCCTTCCCTTCACTTCCCACCGCAGGCGCTGCCTGGGGTGGCTGGGCTTCCCGGGACCAGGCAGGGGCGCCCACACGAAACTTGGACCCCATGACAAAAAAAAATGAATTGGGCCCCCCTGCTGTAATAATTTCTTGAGTCTGTTATTTCTCATTAAAAGCAGCACAATTTTAAAGGCATGAGACAATCTGTGAAAAGATGAATCTCCTCCAGCTCCTCCTGACTCACTAATGACGGCTAAAGATCATAAGCCAAAAAAGATGACATGAACTTGTTAGTTCCTCTGTCCATTGTTGTAGCTGATATTTGGTGAAAATCAAGAAGAAATGATGCCCTAATCGACTCAGAAATACTGCAGAGCCACGTGGCGCCATGTGGAAAGCGCCATGTTTGCATAGAAACAAAGCACTGCCAGGCTTTGTTTGTGAGACTTACGACTACGTGGGATTTTCTAGGTTGTGAGTGGAGCTGGATAAGGTCCATTAACCCTTGAACAACGTTTTTATCAGGACTGCACTGAGAAGTAGATCCTATAATGAGCTCAGGAGATCCACAGTTCCAATCAGATGTTTGCTAATTGCTGCTGGCTAGCCTGAAGGAGCTGAGTGGGGCAGTCATGGGGCAGGGCTGCTCTGAGGTGGAAACTCAGAGGTTTGGAAACTGCAGCTCTGAGGAGGAGTTGCCAGGTCCACCCAGGCATTTTGGACAGCTGAATGGTTGCCATGGAGATTAAAGGATTTCTCAAACAGACAGTTAAGAGTCAAGGCAACGCTTCACATAGCTGTATAACATTATGTAAATCTCAAAAAGTTGTTTTTACATAAAACTGCACCTTTAAAAGAATGTACTCAGATATGTCAGCAGACATGATAAATGCTTAACTTTTTAAACTGTCTTCCTAAAATAACATCAGTGAAAATAATCAAGAAACACAGAGTTAATTAAAATGGCATTTATTTGTCACAATACAAGGACAGAATGTTTTATAGACAACAGTTATTATTGTTATAACAGTTATAGCTAAAATAATTACATCAAGATCTCAGATCACCAGTGCAAGTAGTTAGACTTGTTGTTTAAAAGGACGTCATCACAGGGACTCAGTGCAACACTGACTGACAACAAACAGACAGGGACTGTTGTCATCACTAACACCATGCTGCACATCAGCCTGCCGCACGCAGCAAAACCTGACCCCAACTCACCCTGTGGAATAAATACAAGATGTTACATTAACCGGCATATAGTTTATGGATGACTGCTATAAAACCAATGAACATGTACTCATGTATATAACCGGATATTATTCTAATTTAACTGTAGTAACAAAATTAACTGTAGCTACACGTTAAATGAAGCCGTTCACATTCCTAACACGCGCTTCATTAAACATTCAGGGACACAGCAGAACATCAGTTCGGCTGTGAAGCTGGTCTGCTCCAAATTCTCAGCTTTAACTCAGCAGGGACCAGAGCTGTGCCGTCTCTGTGTCCTGTGTCCATCTGCCTCAGGAAAAACTCGACATTTCCTCTGAGCTCTATAATGAGGACATTTGAGTGGGGGAAACTCGCTCTAGTACGCCTCTTGTGGCCACTAGAGGAAAAACAAACATCTGCAGTGGACTGGTAACCGCATGGTCCTGTTTGAGGAGATTGTTCATCATATAAGCTACAGATATCACACCTGAAAATGTCCACCTTTTTTGGCTGATACAAGAATTACCCAGCATGCATTTCTGTGGACACATGTAGATTATATGCAGATAAGCCACAATAAGAAGCTTTTCTTACTGAACTTGCACTGTTAACCATTGTAATTAAAATAAGCAAAAAAGTAGAGAACCTTTAAACAAGGCAACTTGGCCTTTTAATATGCTTAGAACAGTTTGAATCTGTTGGATCATTGGGATATCTGTGACATCTTGATCAAATGTGAAGTCAGTTTTAGTCTTACAGTTTGATATTAGAAATATTGAATGAAAAAGTGGTCAAGGGGAAACATAAATTCAATAATATGGGCATGTTGAAGCAGACTGACTGTCGTAGTGTGTTAGGATTCAGGTTTGTCTACAACAAGGCTGAACAGAGTCGTTCCCAGACAGGACAGTGTTAAACCACATGCAGTCTGCTGGTTTGTTTTCCACTGTCAGGGTTCTGCATTCAGGATCCTGTTCAGCCTTTCTTCTAACACACTAAATACTTTGGTTCTTCATGCTTACGATGGGGACAGCCTTATTATCATGCAGCTACAGTATCATTTACAGCTTGGATTCGGTTACAGGATCGCACACACCCTTATTCAAATATTTCTAGACATTCTGCAAATATTTGCAGAAGATCTTATACAGGATGCGTCTGTCTTCCTGTAGAACGAATAATGTTCTTTAGACCAGGTGAAGAACAGATCCAGAACCCGAGAACTGACGACAGAACGGTCACAGAGTAAACAGCGAATGGGAGACGAATTCGTTTCCTAGCTATTAGCGCTGGATGCTAATTAAAAGGATGTGAAACAGCTGCGTGGTGGAAAACGTGTTCATGTGCTTCACCAACACTGCCTGGCTGAGGTGGCCAATAAGCCAAGCGGTTTACTTTGCATTTCTGGGGAACAGCTAAGGGTTGCGCTGGGGGTCTGCTGTGACTTCATCCAGTCTGCTTACAGCCTGATCAGTCTCTGTGGGCCAACATGAACCCAGCTGAATGACTTAAAGAATGTCTTAGCTGATTTATTTTAGGAAAGCATCTTCATTCTGAAAATGCTTAAATGCTGAAAATGGCTTACTGGCTCTGTCTACATGGCTCCACGAGTAAAAGGATGTAGTTATACGTCATTTCTAAGGAAAATTGCAGTTTTAAATGTTATGAACCCAACAGGTTCTGGATGTTTAAACAGAAAATTTGTAGGAAACATTTTCTCTGTGCTTATCACAACAGCCAGATTCCCTAACTCTGTCCTATGTAGGTTCTACTTCGGTTCCCTCATGCGCGGCCTTTATTTGTTCTGAGCCAGGATGTCGTTAAAGATGTTGAGGAAGATGTGGACGTGGTACTCCTTAAAGACGAGAGCAGGACGGAAACGGATGGACTGGTCCCCACATCCTCCCAGGAGCACGCCTGTTGACGATAAACACGGTTACTGTGGCCTCCTGTACTTTACACAGTTTTGCACACTTTAGTTTGAAATTCTTAACTTTTTTCTGACTTTTTATTTTAAACTTTGCATGTGAATTTGGTTCAAGTGGGAAAGTTAAATTTGTGGGTTGTGAAAAAAACCTTTATTTTCAAGCTACTTTTGGTGGAGGCAGTGTGATGATGTGGGATGAACAAAGAGGAGATTCTGTCACTATTAGCATCCTATAACACCAGGTTTTAGAACCAAACTGTCCTCCAAGAAGTTAAACAGCTGGCAGTTTATCAGTCTACCTCTGGAGAAGACGGACCAACCCAAACTGAACCCCTGTGGGGTCATCATGGTGGCACTGGCCTGATGTGGCTGTTTACAAAAGATGTGGAGCCCTCTGGTGGTCAAGTGAATGACTTGTTAAACTGACAATAAGTCTTGCTTTGTCAAACCTTCATCTAAGGCTATAAATGACACCAAAACAAGCTTAGCACAATCACAGCGGAAGTGACACAACAAACATCTGCTACTAAATCCAAAAATACATTTTACCTACATTATGGAACTATTTCAAGAAAAATGTACCTTTGTCTCTGGCCTGTAACATCAATCTGTCTCGCGTGGCAGCGTCCCGCACATCAATGGCACAGAACGTCCCCTGTCCTCGCGCTCGGCTCAGCAGGCCGGGGTACTGAGCCTGGATGGGGGGAGGGATTAGTTCATCATCACAAACATTCACATTATAAAAACACCAACAACAATCTGAACTACTGCAGCTCCTTAGGATTTTTTTAATACTTCAAATCATTCACTTTGAAGATTTGTAACAATTTTAAAAAGGTAGAGCTTACAATAACTTAAAGCATTCACACACATTTAAATTTTGGGTTTATTTTTTCAAGATTGTGAGCTTATCGTGACAAATCCCAAAAGATCTGCACATGTAACCACAGCAAAGTGTGGTTCAAGAAATGAATGCCACACTTTTCAGACTTTTATTTGTGAGAAAATTTAAAACTCTGGCTCATTTTACTGCAGCTCCTCTTATTTTGTGCCGACCCTTTATTAAAGATCCTAATAAAATACACTGAAATGTCTGGTTTTAATGTGGAAAAGTTCAAAGTCTATGAATGGCAACCGTTCATAACAAGGCATGTTTGTTCTATCCAGGTAATCTATTGCACTTAAAGTGTAAGTAAGTCTAAAGCATTAATAACATGAACTGACTGAATGTTCCAGAGGTTGGCGGTCTGCGCTACCTGCAGCTCGTAGAGGCCGTTCAGCAGAGCCTTCCCAGAGCGGGTCACTTCCTCCAGGAGGTTCTCCCTGCGGATTACGTTAAGAACCTCAACCAGGAACAAGTTCTTGGACGGGTCTCCCATCCAGGTGTTAAAAATACGGTACGGCTGAAAAACAAACACCACAAGCATAAGATTATTGATATGAGACGTTTTTATCCTGGCATTTGGTCTGATCTGATCTGACAAATATCAATCAACCCGGATTATTCTCTGCAAGCTGTAGCAAGTTTGTAAACTATAAACCAAACTTCTGCTCTGTTCTGACCCGGTACTGCTGTTGCACAGGCAGGCATGGTGGGAGGAGCTACTGGTTGGTGGCGGTGGAAGAACCAGACTGGTTCTGGTCGTAATAGCTGGAGATCAAATTCTAGAAGCCTGAAATG